GAGGCAACCCACTATTGGGTTTCTAAGACTGTAAATTGTTCAGGATGAGACTGTCCACCTTTCTTCCATGGAGTTGCTGGTGGATTTGAATCACCAAAGAAACACAGTCTTTGGGTTAGCACTGAAAGTATTTAGCCACTGTACCACAAGGGCTTCCTTGCAAAGGTTACATTTATTTATTTGGATTACTACATAAATAATATAAAAATTTGCCTACATTCAAAGGTATAGAACATAAGGGGTTTTTATAAGAAAAGCCATTGAAAATACCAAAACATCAAAAGAAATGGAAGAATACACAGTCATTTTACCGAAAATAATTGGTTAACCATAAAAACTTTCAGGAAGCACCACATGATCAAGTGTCGGTGATAATAAAGGAAGAAGTTCAAACTATTTTAAATATAGTGGCAAAAACTAAGGCCCTAGAACCTGTGGAATGCCAACTGATATATTTTAACTAACAGATTGGAGCCCAGAATGTACTCACCAGTCTATGCCAGGAAATTTAGAGGAGAGCTGCTTGGGCTACTGATTGGAAGAGATCCATATTTGTTCAAATTAAAAAAATAATGGCCTAATGGAATATGGAAATTATCAAACAATATTACTATCACATGCAAGCAAAATATTACTGAAGATCATCCAAAATTGGCTAGAACAGAACTTGAAAGATAAATGTCAGAAGATAAAGTTGTGTTTGGAAGACACTGTGGCACCATGTGTATCATTGCAGATGTCAGGTAGATTTTACCTGTCAGCAAAGAATAGCAGAAGAATATCTATTTGTGTTTTACTGACTATGCAAAAGCATTTGACTGTATAGATTGTAACAAACTAAGACTAACATTAAAAAGAATGAGAAACTCAGAACAGTTAACACGTTGCCGCACATTTTTAAACTGACGACAATGCTTAGAAACACATTTGCCTGCATTTGCGGCAACGTGTTAATTATGCTCGTACAAAACTTACATGTAGACCAAGATGTTCTTGTATGAACATGATTTAAAATCAAGACAGGTGTACATCAAGGTTGTATCTTTTCTCCAGACCTAGTCAATCTGTACACTGAGCAAATAATTTAAAAAGCTGAACTCTGTGAAGAAGAATGTGACACCAAGATCAGAGGGAGAATATCAACAACCTGTATTATGTCAATGGCACAGGCTTGCTTGCTAAATGTGAAAGAAACTTGAAACGCTTGTTGCAAAATATTAAAGACTATAATCTTCAAGATGGATTGAATCTCACATCAAGAAGTTAAAATTTTTCACCACTTGACAAATTGGAAATATCATGATAGATGGATGAAATATTAAAATTGTTATTGGTTTCAACTTACTTGGATCTGAAACCAACACCCTTCGCAACAGCAATGCAGAGATCAGAAGACATATTGAATGGCCAGTTCACTGTCAGGGATCATGCCAAAATACTGAAGTGTATGAAACACAATGTGAATGAAGGATTGTATGAAGTATAATAAATATGAACTTTCCATGGAAACCAATACAAAATAATTAAAAAACAAACAAACAAAAAAGATCACATGGAAGAAGAAAAGACCATAAGCAAGACAATCAGTAAACACACACACACACACACACACACACACACACACACACAACTCAACAACAACAAATCACAATACTAAGAAGATAAATGTTACAGATATGGACTACATCCCAACATCAAAAAGGCAAAATCCCCAACTGCCAGGCCAGTAAGCAAAATCATGATAGACTAAAAGATTGAAATTGTCAACAATTTCATTTTACTGGGACCCACAATAAATATCCTTGGCAATGGCGTCATTAAGTCAAAAGCCATGTTTCTGGAATGACTTTTCAGTGAGGAAAAGATTCAGAAAGCTAACAGATGCATGAAGAAATGCTCAAAATCACTGACAATTAGAGAGCTGCAAATCAAAACTACAATGAGATACCACCTCAATGAGATACCTTCTCACCCGAGTAGCAGTGGCAAAGTTTAACAAGGCAGTAAGCAATTAATGTTGGGGAGGATGTCGTAGTATGGGGACACTTGTGGAGATTACAAAATGGTACAACAGTTTGGCAGTTTGGCATTTCCTCAAAGAGCTGAACAGAGAAATTCCATATTGCTCAACTATTTCATAGAATATACTCCTAGAAATATAATCCAAGGAAAATAGAACTGAGACACAAAGAAAGATTTGTACACCAATGTTCATAGCTGCGTCATTCACAATAGCAAGAAAACGGAAACAGCCCAAACACCCATCAAAAAATGAATGGACTGAAAAATTGTGTTATAGTCATATGATGAAATACTATGCATCACTTGGGAGAAATTACTTCAGAAAATACGACATAACATGGGAGAGTCTGGAAAGGATTATACTGAGTGAACTAAGTAAATTTCATAAAGTAAAAAAAAAAAGAAAATGGAGGAAATCACTGGGGGAAAAAATCCAAACAAATGTGTATGAATAATTAGCTAGATTATCAAATTGCTTTATAAAGTTTAGTGCAAATTAGAATAAAAAGAAAATAAAAGGGGGAAATCAATGAAAAAGGGGGGAAATAAAGACATGCAGCAGTGGGAAAAGTCTGCTATCAGGGACTCAATTTACTAAGGAGCAATCATGTCAGTTTAAAGATTAAGGTTTAAATCATTGAGAAGACTTTGAACCTGCTCTTACAATAAACTTATAAACAAACAAAACTTCCTCCTGTAGAGTCCAAATTGAAGTTACTAATTTGGACTCATTTTGTTTCTGAAGTTACAAATAGCACAAGAGATGATTGTCCATCTTTCTGATATATCCAAACTGCCAAAGAGGCTTGACTTTCGAACTAACAGTACAACTCGCAGTACACACTAACCACCAGTCCATGAAGGTTAAGACTAAATAATAACCATAAGAACTTATTCTGACTTTCTTACACCTTTTCTTTAAAGACACTTTAACAACGAATCTCATCAGCAACATGAGGAATATTTCTCTTGGATATTTCTACTCTACACCCTTTGTGTTCAGCAGTCTGTTTGACTTTTTACATCAATGTTATCTGAATCCTTTCTCTGTACCATTTCAGTCTTGAAACAGCTTTCAGTCTATATGCTGAACATATCATTTGAGAAGCTGGACTTTATGACAAAGAATGTGGCATCAGGATTGTAGGACAACTAATTAACAACCTCTTTTATGGAGATGACATAATACCTTGCTTACCAAAATTGAAAAGAACTTGAAATGTTTACTGCAGAAGATCAAGGAATACAGACTTTAATATGAATTGCTCCTAACATCAAGTAAACAAAAATCCTCACCACCAGGCCAACAGGCAGCATCATAATAGATAGAAAAAAAGGATAGAAACTGTTAATAATATAATATTCCTCAAATCCATAATCAACACTCTTGGTACCGGAGTTAGGAAACCAAAAGACAAGTTGCATTGAGAAAATCTGCTGTCAAGGATCTCTGCAGAATGCCAAAGAGCAATGATCTCATTCTAAAGACTAAGGTGTACCTGATTCAAATCATGGTTGCCTCAATTACTTACTATGCATCTGAGAGCTAAACAATGGTTGAGAATGATTTAAAAGAAATCAATACCTTTGAGCTATGATGTTGGAGAAGAGTACTGAACATACTATGGATTGCCTAGACAACAAATAAGTCTATCTCAGAGAGAGTGAAACCAGATTGCTCCTTGGAAGCAAGGATTTTTTTTTTCAAGCAAGAATTTTAAAACTCTGTATCACATACTTGGGGCACATGGTCAGCATGGACCAGTCCTTGGAGAAGGATGTCATGTTGAGAAGGGTAGAAGGTCAGCCCAGGAGAGGAAGACCCTGAGTTAGATGGATTGATACAGTGACTGTGGCAATGGAGTGAGATGTGTCAGACAGTGAGGTTGGCTCACTATAGGGCAATGTTCAGTCTTTGTTCCTAGAGTTACTATGAGTTATAATCAACTCAAGTACACATACAGAAAACAAACAACAAGTTTTAGATTACCAAGTTCCAGTTCATAGAGGAAGCTTGAGTATACTTTTATAAAAATATTTGGCTCCATATGTAAACAAGCAATGTTGTAAACTACCAAGTAGGAACCAACCCATAGCTGACCCTCCAGTGGGTTTTCAGAGGCATTTAATTGCTCAGGATAATACTGCCCATCCTTCTCCCATGGAGCATCTGGTGGATTTGAACTCTGTGTCTTTGGGATTGCTATGCAGCTCCTTACCACTAGGCCACCTGAAATATATTATAAAGGTTGAAAATGGTTATTTATTTTGTACTACATGGAAGTCAATTTAGAAAAGTAAATAACATGCCTTGGACAACTTTTCTTTTTAGAAAATGTATCCATCCCAGTCATATCATGTTCTTCATTCTCTGAGAAAATTCTGGTAATACAACAGAAAATATATAGACCATTGGATAATTATTGATAAACAGACAAAACCAAACTTAATTTCAAACCAATTAAATTTTTATGACTCTTGTCATACAAGGGTGTAGGTCAATTTTCTTTTACTTTTTAAAATTATACTGTTTGTGAAAATTTACAAAAAGGTTGTGTCTTCATTCATTCATTTTTATATCTTTTCCTCCCTTCCCTAATTCACTTTGTAATACATGTCTTTTTCCAGATTCTTAATTTTCATATAACGTCTAATCACCCATTCCTTTAATCGAGGCCTTCCTCTCACCTATTCTGGTGTAAGGTTCATTATCTATACAATATTATTTCCTTTTCTCCTACCAGCCTTTACATTCCATGCAAATCAATTCTGACTCATAAAAACCGTCCAGGGCAGACCAGAACAGAAACACCACAGGAAAAAGAAATGCCAGGTTGTTGTGGTTTTTTTCCTCATAAAGAGCCATTGTTGCATTGACACCATTAATATTTTGGCCAGCAACTATTTAAGCACTGTGCCTCCAGAGTCCCTTTATAGGATGCATACTTTAGTGACTTCTACTGGTTTTGTTTTGGTAGGTAATGGGCTCTCAGAGCAGCCTTGCGGAAGAAATAGAAGAGCAAACGCTGGAAAAAATACAAGAACTGAGAGGAAGCTACAACAAGTGTATGGAGAGTGTGATGAGCCAGCTTTTGAGCATGGTCTATGACCTGAAACCAGAAATCCATGCAAACTACAGACCAATCATCTAAATGTGTGGCCAAGGCCTCACAAACCTGCCCCAGTTGTTTATAACTTCAGGTTTATATTACAGAGTTTAAAATGTTAACCTTACATGTATTGAGTATCTACCAATTCCAATATGGGCAGGGGCACTGAATTTAAAAAATAAATTTAAAAATATTGGTTGTCTTCATATTTTCTGGAAACAGTTTTTTCTCTTGAAGAAGGCTAAGCATGTAGGTCTCTGATACTTAAAAATATTTTAGAAACTTTTAGTGCTTATTTCTTTTTTCCTTAATTTAGGAAATGTTTTGTTAGTTCAGGTTTAAAATTGAATGTTTAAAGGAAAGTAATCATTACACTCACATTGTTATTGTTCTTGTTGACTGTCGTTGAGTCAAGCACAACTCATAGTACCCTTGTGAACAAAAGACCTGATGAAGCCTTTCTATAACTACCATTATTTCTCAATGCTCATAGATTTTCCAGAGGTATGTTATTCAGGAAGGGGTATGTGACAGATTTTATTTCTCTCATTAACCAATGGAAAAATAAGTAAATTCAAAGATAAATTCTAAAAGCTGCCTATATAAAATGCCCTAGTGGCATAGTGTATGACATGTTGGGCTGATAATAAAAAAGTCAGTGGTTCAAACTACCTGTTGCTCCATGGGAGATAGAAGGACAGTCTCTCCCTGTAAATATTTCCAGCCTTGGAAATCAGGTGGAGGATCTCTAGGAGTCAGAGTTACTTGATTGTAGTGAGTGTGAATATAAATTATATCTCAGCTCTGGTGTGAAGCTGGAAGTAGCATATAGCTGACACTCTGGGTGTGTTTGGGGAGACTCAAAATCACAAGGGAGGAGATAGTCCATTGCTTTCCAGAGGAGCTGTTGATGGATTCAAACCAGCATTTTTGGATTATTAGAGTAATTCACTATGGACTATGCAAAGGGCTCTAATTGTAATATATAGATTTTATTTTATATAAATGTGTATGTATGTATGTATGTATGTATGTATGATCTGTATACACATATATCATATACAACTATATATACATGTGTATACATACATATATGTACATATATACCACACACATATGTATACATTAGCACTGGTCTGTGCGTTGCTGTACAGAGGTAACTCGTGGTTGCTGTGATGCTGAAGCCTGTGACAGTGATGTGCCAATCATGGTAATGGGCACCCATGGTGGACAGTGTTGGCTGGAGCTTCCCGACTAAATCAAGCCTGGAAGCAGGAGCGGCATCTACTTCCAAAATGGCTTGCCTCTGGAAACTCTATGTACGAACAGTGCTCAGGCTATTCGTTCATAGGGTCGCTATGAGTCATCTACGACTCGACGGCACCAAACAACAACAACATACGTATACATACACTTTATCTACACATACACTATATATGCATATATGTGTACATACCCTATATACACACCACACATATATGTATACATACACTATATACATATATGTGTACATGCCCTGTGTATACACATATATGAGTATACATACACTATGTATACACATATATGCATGCATACACTATGTATACATATATGCATACATACACTATGTATGCATATATGCATACACACTATGTATACATATATGCATACATTATATACACATACATGTATACATACACTATATACATACATGCAAACATATACTATACATATACATATGTGTATACATATATACATATATGTGTATACATACACTGTATGCATATATGTATGCATACATTATATACACACATATACATATATATACACACACACACTGAGTATGTGTCTATACAAATACACATAACCACTGGTAAGTAGTGACAAAATCAATTTGACAGGTAAACAAAATTTGGCTTACTCCACAGAATTCTTTGGAAATTAAATCAATTGTTCTTCCAACTGACAATTAATTTACACACCTGCGAGTAATAGGAATCACTGTTCTCGGGTTGTCTACAGAGCTATAACACAGCTCAAAAACAATGGAAGATTCAATTAAACTACAATTAGAAAACCAAGAGTTAGAATTAGTTAATGCTTAGTTACCCTTTGAAGACACTGTAATATTTCTGATTCATTTAAAAGTCTTTCACAATTTTCCCCTGATGTTTGTTTCAAATCTTTCACAGTATTCAATGAGTGTGTTGTTGTGGTTGTTATGTGCCGTCGAGCAGCTTGCGACTCATAGCGACCCTATGTACAACAGCCCTAAATTCTTCTCTGTCCTGTGCCAATCGCACTGTCTCTGACACTCCCATCCCGATTATCCCAGTCACTGAATCAATCCATCTCATAGAGGGCCTTACCCTCCTGCGCTGTTCCTCCACCCTCCCAAGCATGATGTCCTTCTCCAAGGAGCGGTCTCTCCTCACAACATGTCCAAAGTATGTTAGACGGAGCCTCAGAATCCTTGCCTCTAAGGAGCATCTGGTTTAACCCTTTCCAGGACAAATCTGTTTGTTTTCCTAGCAGTCCATGGTATTCTCAATACTCTTCTCCAGCAACACAGCTCAAAGGCATCAATTCTCCTTCTATCCTCCCTATTCATTGTCCAACTCTCCGAAGCATAACAAGTGATTGTGAAGACCATGGCCTGTATCAGACACACCTTAGTCTCCAGAGCGACACCATTCCTCTTCAGCACTTTGGAGAGGTCCCTAACAGCAGACTTTCCCATGGCAATGTGCCTTTTAATTTCCTGGCTGCTGGTGCCAAGACTGTTGACTATGGAGCCAAGCAAACTAAAGCTGTGTACAATCTCAGTCTCTTCACCATCCATCCTGATGCTGCCAGCTGGTTCAGTGGTGAGAATCTTTGTCTTCTTGACATTGAGCCTTAATCCATATTGGAGGCTGCAGTCCTTGACCCTCTGCAGCAGGTGCTTCAGGTCCTCTTTATTTTCAGCAAGCAGGGTGTGTCATCTGCATAACGTAGATTGTTGATAAATCGTCCACCAATCTTGACCCCACATTTCTCCTCATAGAGCCCAGCCTCCCGGATAATCTGTTCTGCATATAGGTTGAAAAGGTATGGAGATGATGCATCCCTGGGATACGCCCTTCCCAATGAGTATAAGGTACCCAAATTTGTAAATGGTCAGTTTAGTTTGTATCAGAGCAATTTCAAATTTACAAAGCACATTTGCACCTTAAAAATACATAAAAAGAAAATGTGTTGCTTTATACTACCTTCCTCTCAGCCTAAGATTAATAACATTGTTATTTTTGTTGACCCTTCAGTGGGTTTTTAGAGGCAGTTAACTGCACAGGAGGAGATTGGCCATTCTCCCACAGAGCAGCTGATGGCCTCCTACAGTTTGCCTTCAGATTGCAGTGTAGCTTCTTGCCACTAGGCCCCCAGAGTTCCCTATTATTTTCTTTCAAGTATATTTTTAAAAAGAAATATGTACATAATTATTCTATAAACTGATAGAAAAGAAGATCTGACTTATATACACACACACTCACACCCTTTCAAGCTTGTATACACATTCATGGGGACATAAAGCCTACCAGGAATGTAGGAAGCCTAGGGGTAAGAAACTGTGCACAATCTAAAAGGCACTGGATTGTAACCCACCACTGCTCTATGAGATAAGGGTGGGCAGTCTCCTCCATTGTGATTTACTACCTCTGAAAATCTGCTGGGTGGTTCCGACTCAACAGCACACAACCACCACCACCAGGGATATACTAGGTATGGTAGTACACCATTAGAGTCATCTTCTAGATGTCGTTAGGTGACATCGAGTCAAGTATGACCCGTAGCAACACTGTGAACAACAGATCTGAACCTTGTCCTATCCTGTTCCATCTTCACACTTCCTGACACTCAAGCTCATTGCAGCAGTCAGTGTCCTTCTCACTGAGGGTCTTCTTCTCTTTAATCTACCTTCTGCCTTTCCAAGCATGATGTCCCTCTCCAAGGAAAAGCTTCTCTTAAAAACATGCCCAAAGTATTGGAGGTTAAGCTTTATCATCTTTGCCCCCTGGTGCACTCTGGCTGCATTTTCAAGACATATTTGTTGTTCTTTTGGTAGTCCGTGGAATGTTCAGTACTCTTCTCCAACAACACAGCTCAAAAGCACCAATTCTTCTTTTTTACTTATTCATTGACCCACTCTCAGATGAATAACAAGTGATTTGAAAGACCATAGCCTACATCAGGTACATCTCAGTTCTCAAGTTGACATCATTGCTCCTCTATAATTTGGAAAAGTCCCTCAGTACAGACTTTTCCTGTGCAGTATGTCTCCTGATTTCCTGACTGCTGTCCATGGGTATTGATTGTGGAGCCAAGTTAGGATGATATTTTTTTACAGTTTCAATCTTTTCTCCATTCATCATGAGTTTGCCTATAGGTCCAATGGTAAGATTTTTTTTTTAATTTATACTAGTTTATTTACAATGTTCAAATACATTACTTTTCACACTGGATTTTCCCCCCACAAAATTGTGTGACCCTATGATTAACTCACTCCCCACCCATCCTCACCCCTCTACTT